TGGGCATAGCATGGCTTGGTAGTGTCCTCTTCTTTAGGAAAGAGCTTCTCTTCATTGCATACATCATGACAGTCTTTATTGCTGCTCAAGGAATTATTATATTTATACTTTATGTTCTGTTGTCCAAACAAGTAAAGGAAGGAAATGTTTGTTATTGTAGTTAGAAATGTTAATTCATTTAAAGGTAAGGGCTGCATACTCTAAATGGTGGAAGGACAAAAAAGCCAACTCCCAGGTCCTCAACATTTTTACATCAAAAGCATCATTTCCTTTACACTCTCCTAATCAGGTACAAAATATTCTGCCTGAAAATTTTCTGAGAATGATTTTGAAAGTCCTGCACCTACTTTTATAATTGTACCAGCTATTAGCTGTTGTTTTATTATTATTTGATAGACTAAAGACTTTAAAACTCACTCAAATAGTAATCATTATGAGTCATCTTTTAATGAGAAATCTGATGGTCAGTTTATTATAGAGAAAATGATTAGTGAATGATGAGTTTAAATTTTTAGCTATTCTCAAATCTGTTGCTTCAATCAATGAAATTCCATCTCCAATTGCTACACAAGAGTTTAGTCTTGTTTTTGGAAATAAGGAATTTCAGGAGAATGACTCTGAGCATTGAAATTATTATTATATTGTCATTGCATTTCTGTCATCATTTTAAAAATAATTTTTCTGCATACAATGGGCGTGGTTAGTAGCATGCTGCCACAATGGGCGTGGTTAGTAGCATGCTGCCACAATGGGCGTGGTTAGTAGCATGCTGCCACGTGTGCTACAAAATGGCCGACCTTAAGAGGCATGGAAAGAGAGAAGAAAAGAAGAGGAAAAGAAAGCCAGAGCCTAAATGGAGACAAGAAGCTAGACAGATAGAAGCCACAGTTGCCCAGTATCCACAAATGGCCCCGGAATCCATGGAAAAGTTTACAGATATTCCTCTCTCATCTAAAACACTACAGGGACTACGGAAGAATGGCTACAGCAACCTGACAGATATACAGAAAGCCGCCATACCCTCTGCTCTGAGAGGCAAAGATATATTAGGTGCCGCTAAAACAGGCTCTGGCAAGACCCTAGCTTTCCTGATCCCTGTACTTGAGCTGCTCTGGCGAGAGCGTTGGACACAGATGGACGGATTAGGTGCGCTCATCATATCCCCCACCAGGGAACTTGCCTATCAAACGTTTGACGTTCTTTATAAAATCGGAGGAGAGCACGACTTTTCTGCCGGTCTCATAATCGGTGGAAAAGACCTGGGTTTCGAGAGAGCGAGGATCTTAAAAACTAATATAATAATATGCACTCCTGGACGCCTACTACAACATATGGACGAGACCCCAAACTTTGAGTGCCAGTCTCTTAAAATACTCGTATTAGACGAAGCCGATCGAATCCTAGACCTTGGTTTTTGTGAGACGATGCGTTCGATAGTTGAGAACCTTCCTAGCGAGCGACAGACTCTACTCTTCTCTGCTACTCAGACAAAGTCAGTCAAAGACCTTGCTTTGCTGAGTCTCTCGGAGCCGGAGTACCTCTCGGTACATGAGGAGTCTGAGACAAGTACTCCACAGAGACTCCAACAGAGTTACGTTGTGTGCAAGTTAGAGGAAAAGATCTCGACTCTATTCTCGTTCATAAAGACTCATCTCCTTGTAAAGTCAATCATATTCCTCTCCTCTTGTAAGCAGGTGCGGTTCACTTATGAAGCTTTCCGTCGTCTTCGTCCTGGTGTGCCACTAATGTGTCTCTACGGCCGACAGAATCAGGTCAAACGTGTCGCTGTCTACAAAGACTTCTGTCAAAAGAAAGCAGCTGTGTTGCTATGCACTGATATAGCTGCCCGGGGGCTTGACTTCCCCTCCGTCCACTGGGTCGTACAGTTAGACTGTCCAGAGGACACTAACACTTATATACATCGCGTGGGGCGGACTGCCAGATATGAGAAAGATGGCCATGCCCTCTTGTTTATACTCCCATCTGAGATGGAGATGATCAAAGAATTGGTAGAGAAGAAGATACCGATAGAAGAGATAAAGATTGATCCAAAGAAACTAGTCTCTATTCAAGGCAAGCTTGAGGCTTTTTGTGCCCAGGACACGGAACTCAAACAACTTGCCCAGAAGAGTTTCATTAGATACCTTCGCTCTGTTCATTTGCAGTCGAACAAGAAGGTCTTTGACGTTAGGAAACTCCCAACTTCAGAGTATGCACTATCACTGGGTCTCTCTCAGGCTCCTCGTATTAGGTTTTTAAAGAAAGATACTACAAGTGGAAAGAACTGGGATAAAGAAGAACCTACTGATACTCCCGAGACAGTAACTCTTGAATCATCAAAGACTCGTTTTCGTATGGCTTCTTTTGATGATGACATCTTGACAGTAAAACGAGTCATACTAGCTGGTACTGGGTCTATGGAAGAAGAAGCCACACCCCTAGCCCCTCCCAATCCAGAACCAAAGACCAAAACTAAATCAAAAGCAAAGTTGGTGCGCTCTTTACTGAACAAGAAATTGAAAGTTAACACTCATGTGAAGTTTAATGATGATGAAGATGATGGTAATGAGATATCGCATGAGCTGAGAGACAGCAGTGATGATGATGAACAGAGTGAGAGAAAGGAGGAAGGTGATGGTATTAACATTGAAGAAGCAAAAATGAAGCTAAGAGCTCAGGATAAGTTGGATCGTCGAAACGAGAGAAAGAGAGTACGCGAAGCTCACAGGAAAAAGAAACTTAAAAATAAAGAAAAGACTAGAAATGAGGGAGAGAAGGAGGAAAGGATAATGACACTTTGTACTAATGAGGAGAGTGAGAATGAGAGTGAACCTGAGGAATGTAAAAGGCAGAGAATTGACAGCAGTGATGAAAGTGATGGAGACAACATTTGTGATGATGAGGAGCTTGCTTTGCATTTATTGCATCACAAAAAATAAACACTCATCATTAATACTTCATATCTTATATTGAGTATGTATTATTAATCTTATTGTTAGTATTGTATTTGGTGAAGGCCAAGCCCACTTTTTAAGGAGGATATGAAGTTGATTCCATTATTGCAGTGTATTATAAGACAAAAGGTTTTTAATAGCTTTTGTCAAATTATTATTCTCTTTTAAAAGGTTCATTCTTCTGTCTTAAGTCCTTTGGGAGTACCAAGAATAAAACCAGTTTCTACAGGTAAACATGAACAAGAAACTGCTCAATGTTGCCATCATTTTAAACAGCTAGAAGAAGTCTAGTTTTTGTCTCAAGGCCACAGAATAAGTATGAAGACAGCTCTTACTGGAATATCAGGTGGACTGGTGGTACCACCATTTGGCATAAATGGGAAGTTGATGAATTGTTAAAGGTGATAACTTGTTCTTTACAGCTAGTGATATGTTGCGTTTATCGATCATTTTCAGAAACACTATCACTTTTTGCAGACTGGTAATAATCAGTCTTCAATATTCGTACCTCTCTGTGGTAAGAGCATAGACATGAAGTGGCTAGCTGATAAAGGTCATGCTGTGGTTGGTATTGATATTGTTGAACTAGCTGCTCAACAGTTCTTTACTGAAAGCAATATCCCATTCAAAAAATGTAAGAAATACTATGATAATAAGTGAATCAGTTATTGATCTGTTAATAGATACAACTGATGATTTCTCAGTGTATGAATCAACTGATGACATGATGAAGATCAAGTTCATTGTAGGAGATTTGTTTAAGTGTTCAGTTGAGAGGATTGGATCATTTGATGCTATCTGGGACTGCAATTCAATCATTGCTATTAATCCAGATGACACAAAAAGATATGCAAAGTTGCTTGACTCTCTTCTTAAATCTTCTGGTCGTATTCTCCTCTCAACTTATGAATTTGAGGATCTTTCGGGACGCGATCAACCTCCTCATAATCTGCCTCCAGATGCAGTGAAGGGTTTGTTTGGAGAGAAGTACAGTATTGCTGTTAAAGAGACTCTAGATCATACCGCTCTATTCTGTATAAAGTATCAAATACCATGGGCTCAAAGGCATTTGCTTTATTTGTCAAAAAATAATTGATTATCTAATTTTAATTTTGCTATTTTTGGTGGGCATTCTACCAGGAAAATCTTGCCACGCCTCTCTGTTGAGGAATGCTAATTAACCATGGCTTCCCATTCCTCCTCTTCTTCCATTTTAGATTCTATTTTAGTTTTAGACCAAGAGCCAGAGACTGTGTCGATTGTTAAAGAATGGCAGCTGAGCAGAGAAGCGAGGACATACATGAACGGCCTAGTAAAGAGAAAGAAAAGAGTCCAGTTTGGTCTACTGGAACACCCAAGCTTTGTATCCCCCATACTCAGAAAAGCCCCAGTACATACAGCAAAGATATTCCTCTATGGTAAAGGAGGAGTTGGTAAGACTAGTACTGTTTGTAAACTGGCCGGTTTACCCGTACCCAGCTCACATCACGAGACATTAGGGATACAGACCACTCTCGTATATTGGCCCATTAAAACTGAGCCTTCCGACTCCTCTCCAGTCGAACTAATGCAGCTGGAGTTGTGGGACTCTGGGGAGAGAGCGATGAGAAAATTTGAGCATATCTTTCCATCGTGTCTGAGCTCAACAAACGCCATTGCTTTTTTCTTCTCATACAACGATCGACAGTCGTGGGTGGAGCTACCTGAGATCATAACGCAAGCAGCTGCAACCAATCGGACTGAGTCGCACCTTAAGATCGTCATAGCGACCAAGAGCGATACCCCCCATCAGGTGGTAGAGCCCGAGGAAGTTGAGAGGTTTCAGAAAGAATACGATATTAAAGTACTCTCGTTATCAAATACTTTAGTTAATAGTGACGGCAGGTTTGATGGACAAAGAGAGTTGAGTGACATTTGTAATGTGCTCAATGAATTATCCGAAATGATTATTAATCATGAGAAGCGGCTGTCATTGTTACAACAGCAGCAAACTGTCAGGAAACAGCTACAGGATATTGAGATATCTGATATTTGAGCTCTCTCTCTCTCTCCCTCTCTCTCTTTGCTTTTCATTTTTATATCTTCACCATATAAAAATTTCTTTCATTTTATATCTTTTTTATATGTCACCTTCCTCAATCTCTTTTTATATGCTCACTTCTGTCTTTATTTTATAAGCAATGTTTAGTTATACCTTTAACTGCCAGGTTACAGAGAGAGCAAGTGATGGCAAAGAGATGACACTCCATGCAGTAAGGACCTTTGAGCAGTGCCCTGCATCCTCTACACTGTCCGGCATACATATTGATGTACTTATGCTGTGTAGCAAGTTTGAGCTAATTCCGACTACAATTTTTCAAGTTACGGCCATTTTAAGAAAACGTCAAAATTCTGAAAAATACCCAAGGCTATAGCCCATGGTTTTTCCAAAAAATGGCTCCGAAATCACCCCAAATTTTTATTACATTTTCTGATACATATTGATGTCCTTATGCTGTGTAGCAAGTTTGAGCTAATTCTGACTTCAATTTTTCAAGCTACTGCCATTTTAAGAAAACATAAAAATTCTGAAAAATACCCAAGGCTATAGCCCATGGTTTTTTCCAAAAAATGGCTCCGAAATCACCCCAAATTTTTATTACATTTTCTGATACATATTGATGTCCTTATGCTGTGTAGCAAGTTTGAGCTAATTCTGACTTCAATTTTTCAAGCTACTGCCATTTTAAGAAAACATAAAAATTCTGAAAAATACCCAAGGCTATAGCCCATGGTTTTTTCCAAAAAATGGCTCCGAAATCACCCCCAATTTTTATTACATTTTCTGATACATATTGATGTCCTTATGCTGTGTAGCAAGTTTGAGGCAATTCCGACTTCAATTTTTCAAGTTACGGCCATTTTAAGAATACGTAAAAATTCTGAAAAATACCCAAGGCTATTTGAACTAGCTGATATTTCCTTTTTTCTAAATAATTTTCACTTCTCTGATTCACCTTCTAACTTTAATGCTTCAAATTATTTCTCTTTTTCGTCTACCTCTACTCGATCATCTACATTTCACAAGTTATCTTTTAATTTTACTTCTCATCACTCCTCACATCACACTTTTTTCACCCTCTTCCCTCGTTTATGGAATTCTCTTCCACCTGTAAAAATCTCTCTATCTAAAGAAACTATTAAATTACACGTAAAGAAAACTTTTTGGAATCACTTTATTGTTCATTTTGACCCTAATAATGTTTGTTCTTATCACTATGTATGTCCTTGCTTTTCTTGTGCCAATCTTCCTGTAAACTCTATGTATTCCTGATTTGTTTATGTTAGTAGTTATTTCATTTTATTTTTATTTTTATTATTTCCTTATTTACTATTCTTATTTTCTCTTTTTTTTCTCTCTCTCTATCTGTTTAATCTTTTTTTTGTTTGGCGGTCAGCTCAGGAAGCTGGCTGTCCATCTGTATACATTTGTATACAGTAAAGTTATTTAAATAGCCCATGGTTTTTCCAAAAAATGGCTCCGAAATCACCCCAAATTTTTATTACATTTTCTGATACATATTGATGTCCTTATGCTGTGTAGAAAGTTTGAGGCGATTCCGACTTAAATTTTTCAAGTTACGGCCATTTTAAGAATACGTAAAAATTCTGAAAAATACCCAAGGCTATAATAGCCCATGGTTTTTCCAAAAAATGGCTCCGAAATCACCCCAAATTTTTATTACATTTTCTGATACATATTGATGTCCTTATGCTGTGTAGAAAGTTTGAGGCGATTCCGACTTAAATTTTTCAAGTTATGGCCATTTTAAGAAAATGCCTAAAATCTGAAAAATACCCAAAGCTATAGCCCATGGTTTTTTCCAAAAAATGGCTCTGAAATCACCCCAAATTTTTATTGTATTTTCTGATACATATTGATGTCCTTATGCTGTGTAGCAAGTTTGAGGTGATTCCGACTCCAATTTTTCAAGTTACGGCCATTATTGTAGTAGTTCTTTTGGATGGAATGTTTGTAAATATTTATTATTGACCTTTAAAATTTTTTTTGTAAAACTCAAATATCTAATTGTGGCACAAAATCAGAAATATAACTCTAAAGTTACAATAAAGAACTTTCTACGCTACACTACAAAACGAAGTAAAAAATGAATGTTGCTATAAAGTTTGTGCCAGTTAACTACGATCCATTATGCAACATAGCAGGCTATGCCCTCAGAAGTATAGCCATGTTTCCCTCGCCTTCCATGAGTTGTGGTTCCAATCTCATTAGCATTTGTTGTATAGAAATGGTCGTTACCATTCCAGTAGCGATAGAGTGGACGAGTAAGGCCTGGCAAGAAATACTTGAAGCAATATCCTTGAACTCCTTCATAAGCCCATCCATGTCTTCCACGCCCCAACTCTCTGAAGTTTGTGGTATAAAAGTGGTCACGAATATGAGCATTCCAATATCGGTAAAGTGGGACAACTGATGGGCCTGGTAGAAGGAATTTTAACATTAATCAGAAATATTATTTCTTACTAATTTTCCTTGTGTAAATGCGACCAGCAATTCCTTCACATCTGTAACCATGATTACCTATCCGACCAGCAACTGTAGTTCCAATCTCTCTTTTATTGGTTGTATAGAAATGGTCACAGCCATCACCTGAAGTGTTGCAGCAATAAACAAGCTAATGTTGTTATACCGGTATGAGCTGTACCTTTAAAGTAACGATATAGTGGTATGAGACGACAAGCTGTGCTCCGGACAATTTCAGCTATGCAAAGACCATAATTGCGATACTAATCAATGTTTGCTTACATGAATCAGTATCATCTTCTTTATCACCAGCCTGCTCTTCTTCACTTGCTGCTGAGAGTGACATGGGAAATTATCAATTCTTTACATAATAGAGGCTGTGCACATATTTAATCATTGATGTTACCTTGTTCATCTTGTTCATTTTCCTCAGCAATAGGGCTGTCAGAAGGCAGCTCAGTTTCTGTTTGGGCATTAATATCAGTCTCATCTTCTGGTTCTTGTTCAAGTCTAAACTCTTCAGCTAAAATGTATTTAGTCACAACAGCTTTATATTGCACAGTGGCAGCTTACAGTTGTTGGGCAAACATTGGATAGTCACTAGGACAGCAGCTAAGAATACAAGTGCTAGCTTCATTCTTATTAATTTCATAGGATTCTTCAGTATGATAGTTTCAGCTAACCGAACAGAAGCTTATATACTGGAGCAGTGTTTGTCTATGTCCACTAAAATAACTCAAACAAGAAGCATACAATTATTTATAATTTATTGTCAGTGATACAACCATTGTATGTCATTTCCTCATTGACATAAGCTAAAATATATTACAGTGTTTGTTGATGTCTACTAAATCAATAAGCATGTAATTGATACGACCGTTGCATGTATACCATTTCCTTATTGACACAGACTAAAAATTCTTCAAACTTATTGGTAGTGATATAATATTCACATTTGATGTTTTATTGTAGATTTCCTGCTATGGAAGACAACAATCAGTTCCCTGTCTAATCATTTTTTGATCTTTTCTAACCAATACTGATAGCTTTATAAATATAGTTTATAAACATGCTTACTCTTTGAGCTTTATGTACATGCCTTGCTAGGTTTCTTTTTCTAGTGCATTTATTTAGAAGATTTCATTAAATGGTCATTCTGTTATACAATTACAGTTATAGGGATCTGTTCACCAAAATAACTTTTTATGAAAAATTCCACAGCTAGTTCACACATTTAAGATTGGAAGATGTTGCTTATTAGCATTTTATATTTTGTAAAATGAAATCAATTTAAATTGATCATTTTTACTGTACGTGTTTATTTTGTACTTTGAATGTTCAAAATTTTTATGAAATTTATTTATGCAGCAATTGTGTACAGCGCATAATATAATTTTTATTGCTGACAACTTGACGTTAAATGTTCTTTTTTAAAAAAACCAAATTATATTAACTGTGGCAAAAATCAGAAATTCATGTAATTAAGTTACTGTGAAAATCTTCCTACACTACAACAAAATAAAAATGAATGTCATTTTTGTTCCAGTTATGGGCTAATAGATACATAGCAAGCTATGCCTTCATAGACATAGCCAAACTTTCCCCTGGCCCCAATGGTTGTGGTTCCAATCTCACTGGGACTTAAAGTGTAGAAATGATCAACACCATTCCAGTAACGATGGAATGGACGATTGACGTCAGGCAAAGAATCCTCATAACAATATCCTGCAATTCCTTCATACTCATATCCTTTGCCTCCACGACTCAATTCATTAAAGTCTGTGGTGTAGAAATGGTCCTTGATATCACCATTCCAATATCGGTAAAGGGGAACAGTATTAGCTACAAGAAAGTGTGATATTATAATTACAAAGCAAGTCTTATTAGCAACTTACCAACTCTTGAGGTGTAAACAAAAGCAGCAATGCCTTCATACTCGTAGCCAAATCTACCTATTCGACCAGCGACTGTAGTTCCAATCTCTCTTGCATTGGTTGTATAGAAATGGTCACTGCCATCACCTGAAGTATTGCAGCAATAAACAAGCTATAATGTGCATGGTGTAAACTGACTTAAATAATAGCGGTGTAATGGTCTTCGGCCACTTGACCTCTTCACATCTTCAGCTACATTAAAGACATCAGTATATCAACAACTAATCAATATACTTGCACTTATAAGTATTTGCAATAGCTGCTGTTACAGCTATAGACTTACAGTTTTGTGCTGGAAGACACTGAATAGTCACTATCAGAGCAGCTAAGAACACAAATGCCAGCTTCATTTTTGAGATGATTTGCTAAGTTTGGTTTGATTTAGCTCACTGTGTCTCAACCTTTATAAAGACTGATAATGTCAGAGTTTGTATGGTTGCTCATTAACCTAGATCTACTTATACCATTATACTTAATCAATGAACCAACTTTAATCATTGTGAGTTGGTTATCATAAAAGAGGAAATTCCAGCATAGTTTACAAATTACAGAAGTGACAGTCACATTTGAATTCTTTAGGTTTGCAACCAAACAGCTAATGGGTATTTGCAATCCGACAGCTAATGGGTATAATTGTTAGTTCAGGAAGTGAACAGTTATGTCACCTAATTTACAGTTAATAGTCCATATATTTGATCAAAGCTTTAATACCACTAAAGACCTTGTTTAAATACATGAATTAGTTTACTGGCAACATGTTGTGACTAGTGCATGAAAACAAAGACTAATTTTAAAGCCACGTCATGATAACTTTGTCTAACATCTGGTAATTATGGCAATTTTCACATCAAAATTTTCACCTAAAATTTAAAAGCTTTCACCTCAAAGTGGTACCCTCATTGCTAGTAATTTTTTATGTAAAAATTAATTAAGAGAACTCTACCTCTTTTTTTACTTTTATCTTTAAAAATCATAATATATTATATATATTACATAGTCATACAGTAAATCATTATTATTATTTTAAATTAAAAATAATTTCATTGACTCCAACCACTAGTCTCTAAGCATCTACATCCACAGCCGGAAGGACACGTCACGTGATTTGAAAACCAATCCATCAGGTGATTGGTGTGGCCTCCATGACCACAACTCAAACATAAATTAGAAGAGCCTAAATTAAATGATCATTTAAAAGCAATGTCAACTTATAAGTAAGTACTAGGCTATACCTTTAACTGCCAGGTTACAGAGGGAACAAGTGATGGCAAAGAGATGACACTTCATGCAGTAAGGACCTTTGAGCAGTGCCCTGCATCCTCTACACTGTCCAGCAAGAGCTGAGAGAGAGAGAAATAAAAAAAGATATAAATAATATACAGCAGAGAGATGATAATTATTGTGAGTTAAGCGATATTGCATTAACAAAATAAAGAAATGAAGAGGCCTAGATGTCGTAAGCTTCACATTCATTACAATTATAACTCATTAAATTATTATACAATACATGCAGATCTATTGTCATCATTTTATTAAAAGGTTTACTTATTTCCTTATGTCTATAAGCTCCACAAGACTGGTACTTCATGACTTCCGACCGCTGAGTTAGGAGGCCCCACCTGTACAGGATGTTACTATAGCAACGCCTATACTCATCACATCTTAGGCTCATGACAGCATCAAGTATCCTATAGACAAATGATATCACGTTTATTTTTGTAGATAAGTTTTTGCCTGCAGTTATTTTGATGTTGTAGCATTTCTTCATCGTCGACTGTCTCAATTACTATTCCTTCCAAACCAACAGGATGCTCCTATAGGGAAACCACGCCCATTAATAAACCACACCTATGATTGCTATTACTTGTGTCTTCTTTGGAAGGGAAGGAGAAGATGATGAAGAAGATGAATGAGGAAAGCGTTCGTTAACATGAAGACATTGTAACTGACATATACAAGAGAGCATTGCTAGTGTTTGAACATCATGAATACTGCTGTAATAATCAAACCTAAGACACCAATAGACATAGGGCCAATCAATATTATTACTAACACTAGAATAATTTTCAAAAACTTTTTGAAGAAATTTAAATGTAACTTAAGAATCAAATTTTGACTGGAATAAACTCAAATTTATCATACATTTACATGTAGAAAATAAATGATTTTGATATAAGTACAAAAATGTAAGAAAAATTAACCAGCCATTTTTTGACAAAATATAATACAGAGATCAAATTTTTGAGTAACTTACACCTGTCACAAAATCTGTGACAAGCAAAAAACCCATTGCTTCCATTAGCACAAAATCTGTGACAATGCCATTTTTTGGAAAAAACATGGGCCTTAGGTATTTTTGCATTTTCTTATTTTCAGAATTTTGACGTTTTCTTAAAATTGCTGTAACTTGAAAAATTGAAGTCGGAATCACCTCAAACTTGCTACACAGCATAAAAACATCAATATGTATCAGAAAATGTAATAAAAATTTGGGGTAATTTTTTGTCCATTTTTTTAGAAAAAACCATGGGCTATAGCCTTGGGTATTTTTCAGAATTTTGACGTTTTCTTAAAATGGGCGTAACTTGGAAAATTGTAGTCGGAATCACCTCAAACTTGCTACACAGCATAAAAACATCAATATGTATCAGAAAATGTAATAAAAATTTGGGGTGATTTTTTAGCCATTTTTTGAAAAAACCATGGACTATAGCCTTGGGTAATTTTCAGATTTTTGACGTTTTCTTAAAATGGGTGTAACTTGGAAAATTGAAGTTGGAATTGTCTCAAACTTGCTACACAGTATAAGGACATCAATATGTATCAGAAAATGTAATAAAAATTTGGGGTAATTTTTTGTCCATTTTTTGGAAAAAACCATGGACTATAGCCTTGGATATTTTTCAGAATTTTGACGTTTTCTTGAAATGGGCGTAACTTGGAAAATTGAAGTCGGAATTGCTTCAAACTTGCTACACAGCATAAGGACATCAATATGTGTCAGAAAATGTAATAAAAATTTGGGGTAATTTTTTAGCCATTTTTTGGAAAAAACCATGGACTTATAGCCTTGGGTATTTTTCAGAATTTTGACGTCTTCTTAAAATGTCCGTAACTTGAAAAATTAAAGTTGGAATCAGCTCAAACTTTCTACACAGCATAAGTACATCAATATGTATCAGAAAATGTAATTTAAAAACTGGGGTGATTTTGGGCCCATTTTTTGGAAAAACCATGGGCTATAGTACAGGGGCTTTGAGCATAAGAATTCTCTCCCAGTCATGTTACAGTTGCTCATTAACATTAACTTTAAGATCTCACAGTGATTGAACAAGCTGACGTCCAAAAGGATGTATGGCCCATGGTCCCTCAGCCCCGGGTTCCAGAGGTGAGGTTTCATGTTTTGCAGTGTCGGCAGCAATAAGTGATACAGCAGTCCATGTGTTAACGAGGTCCTGTCGACCAACGGCAGCTGCTGCACATGCATTTAGTATACAAATATCTTCAATATTTTTACCAACCAAACTAAAAAATGAACACAAACTAGACATGAATTACTGCAATTTGTGATACTATGAGCAAGTTTAAGAGGTATTAAAATACTTTAAACTTATCATCCACAACACTACCTGTACCTGTATTCCTTAGCCAGTTTATAATCCACAGGTAGGAGGCTACTGACATCAGATATGATCACAGTCCCTGCTCCTCCTTTACTCGAGCTGGAGGAGGACAGTTTATCCTTTGATCCAGGAGAGACCCCTCCGGTTCCCATGCTCCCTGCGCTGGTTCCAAGGACCTGTAGGTTACTCCCACTGTTTGTCCTCTTTGAGAAAGAGGCGGAGGAATGGAGAGACGAGACACGTTGACGAGAGCCTTTCTTTGTCAAGGATTTGTAATGATGTAGGGAGTCGAATGACCTGTTCAAAAAATAAAGAAATGGACAGATAATTATACATCTGTTCATTTCTTTATTTTTTACGGTGTGTCCTTTATACAGTGTGTCCTTTATTATTATTATTATTATTATTATGATGTACAATGTAACTCACTTTGGTGTTTTTGTGTTAGGAGGTAACACGCTAGGAAAACTAAAATACACAATATAACCTAAAAGAGGACAGGAAACTTAAAAACATGCAAATAATCGTTTTTTAACAACTTTAAAATTCATATAAAATCAAATTTTGATTGGGACCAGCTCACATTTAAAACACAACATAAGAACATGTATATGTATCAGAAAAAAATTAAAATGGAAATTCATTTCTTTTCAATTTTGGCAAAATTTGGCCCGATACAGTACAGGGACAATTCCAGTAACAAACTGCCACTGCTGCATGAGCAGCTGTATAAAGGACTGAGAGAGTACTAACCGTTTGAACAGAACCTCGCTCCGCTGCTTCTAGGAAATGGAATCCTATCATCGTCCAGTTTACCAAATGACAAGTCAAAATCTGATTGGACGGAGGGAAGGGCATGAGGATCAGCAGCAGGTGGCTCTGGACGACACTAAAGGCAAAGAGAATGGGACGTGGTAAAGATGAAAGACTCTCATAACGCAATTATCTCTAACCAGTAATGTATCAAAGCTTTTGGCTAACTTCCTCAGACATTGCTCCAGACACGGTCTGTTCAACCTCACATTTGAATAAGCCGTTTCATTGACAGTCTATAACAACAACAACAATAACTTAACAAAAATAATAACAACAACAATAATAATAATAATAATAACAATAATAATGGATACTTAGGGAGTACTTATTAATAAGTCCATATATTACATGTGGATGACAATCGATACATTCAAATCTATTATCACAATTACATGTGCTTACTCCAATGAGCTCATTCTGACTGGAATAATCAATAGTGGTACTTGGATCTAGTCTGAAGGAAGGAGCTGCTCCATTAGGATAATGAGAGGGGAACGTGATGTCAAGACGAATGAGATGTCCTCCTTGTTCTATCTTAACGGTACAGCTGCGCTGAGTCGGATCAAGCTAAAGGAGACACAGATATAGAAATAAGTATATGAGACACTGCCAGTAATAATAACAACATAATTATCATTATTATATTATTTAACAATTTCAATATTTAAGTGTCTCATAACTGGTGCAACTTCACCATACTACAATGAGTGGGTGAGTGAGTGAGAACAATCATTAATCCAATTATGACGATGTCATCATATTTGGATTGATAACTGCTACCAGTTGAGCTGTGCGTGTCTGAGTAGGTGTATACACGTCCATAACAAGCCAGTGTGTGACAAGAGTGGGCGGTATGCATTACTGATGTGTGACCACTAGCAATTATAAATACATACACACTGTTGTATGTGAATCAATATAAATACATACACACTGGTGTGTGTGAATCATTATAACTACATACACACTGGTGTGTATGTCAATCGATATAAATACATACACACTGTTGTATGTGAATCAATATAAATACATACACACTGGTGTGTGTGAATCATTATAACTACATACACACTGGTGTATGTCAATCGATATAATTAGGTGTGCAAGTTTGTGGTCACTGCCGCCTTGCTGACGTGTGACAATACAAATTATCAATGTGTGCAATCTGTGACTCAATCGGTTTGATCATAGTTCTGTATTTTAATATTTACCCTCTCCATCTCCAAGTTGGGTATGTCGAGATTAACTTGTTCGAATTCTTGAGCCAAAGTCTGACTAACAAAACTACTAAATATGGACAAATCTGGAGTGCCTGGAGATCGGGAAAAAAGAATAATTAAAAATAAAAATAAATATTAACCAGGAGTAGCCGATCCGATCGAATTGAAGGTTTTGTTACTCATGGGGGTTCCTGGCAATACCACACTAGGTCCATCAATATCATCAGACCCCTCACCAAAAGTGCTGAAACTAGTTTCAGCTTCAACACCAACCAAAGAAGGGGGCTTTTTGACCGTGGGGGTCTTCTCAAGGCTTCCTTCGGCAGGAGATAAATCAAAATTAAGAGCTTGCTGCAAATGTTCAGAGAGGGACCAGACATGAAGGGATCGATCCTTTGAGAGTGAAAATAAACAGCAACCTAAGGGGAGGGGCACTCCGGCTAGTGGGAGTGGTCAAATACGCATTCACGTACCTCTCTCATTTTTAACCCACTGGATATCAATCACGGCATCAGTGTGACCATTGAATATGTGAGTGGGTGTGGCTATGTTCGTTCTACTCCAAATAAAGACTCGATTGTCACCAGAATGAACCGCAGGTACTAGTATCATACCTATACCTTCACCGTGTGGCTATTAATAGTAACAAAAATAAATACATATCTATTAATAGTAACAAAAGTATTCTAAATGACATTATCAATATCAACTATATTCATATGTACATGTACTTATGGTTGCATTAATCTGTTTTTCGTATCGTTACAACTTACGCAGTTTCTTGCCCTCCAAATAGGATGGTTCCCAGCCTTTATTGTGCTGTGAGGATCCCGTGGGGACTTGGTATCCCAGAACTTGACAGTAGCATCATGACTACAGGTGGTGAGGCTGTTCTCATTCGTATAGCTCCAATCAATATCGTGTATCTTGTTCATGTGAGCCGTTATACATGCTGAAACTGTGGAGGGTTTCTAAATAATAAATAATAAGATAATTATAACATAAATACAGCATATATTTAAAGTATTTCTCTCTCTCTCTATTTCTCTTACTTTCATGTCCCATATCCTGATGTCAGAATCATGAGCTGAGCCTATTATTGATCCATTCAACCTGTTCCATTGAACAAATGAGGCACCAGCTAAAGTATAAATAAATAAAGAAATAAATATTATTGTATATATAGTAAGCTCAAAGACTCACAGTTCAATCCTCCTAGAGTTTTAAAGGATACCTTGGGCCGTCTTGGTTCTCTAAAAGCCCAAATGATAACATGATAGTCACATGATGATCACATGATGATCACATAGTATTACCTGATGTCCCAGATATGAACAAATGATTCAACAGCACAGGTAGCAATGAGATTAGGGTCATCAGAAGACCAGCTTAAATCACTAATAAAGAATAAGAGGTTTATGGTCATGCATGAACTTATAGAGTTTGAGGAGATTAGGAGGAGACATTTAAATATAAAGACATCAACCTCAGAGGACGTGTGTGAGCTTTGACTGATACAAGAGGCTGTCTGCCTTCATGTGTATCCCATATATCAAGCTTCAAATGATTCTACAATACAAATAATAATAAAAATAATAAAATACATCATGTAGCATTATTTAATTCCTATGTCACTGTAGTGATGATGATAATGATTAACAACCTACGATATGTATATAGCATGACAAAGAGTAGGCAGAGATTATGGTAAACCGGAGTACAGAGTGCAGGTAAGTGGGCATTCATGCCAGATCATGCCACCAAATATACCATTACTAAAGGATTATATTACTAGTATTATGAGTGATAAGTCCCTTGAGGCCAAACAAGGTCTTTCAGAGACAGGCAGGTGTGTCAACAACCACTGTACTCATCATTTTATCAAAAAAGGAAACTGCAAACCATAGCCAGGCTGGCCTGTAGTGGGAGGGACAGGTTGATATCAGGCAAGAGTCCCTTTACTAAACCCAAAAGACTGCTGACTCAAAAACACTATAAAAAGTCCCCACAGGCCACCCACTGCATTAGAGGAAATGGGTACACGAGAGGATCAAAGTCATGTCAAATAATTCAATAATAGCCTATCTTAGACTAGTAACAGGTGACTGGATCATGAGAGAGAAATAACATAATTTTAAGCAATAGATGTACATATATGTACATGTACTAGCAAATACGCTGACAACATGATGTACATGCACTAACTTGCAGTGATAAGTTGATTACATGTAGAGGAGCCATTACTTGTTTTTGAGATGTATAATGGTTGTATTAACAGGATAATGGTACAAGTATAATCTTTTGTAGCATAATTACTGATATGAAAATATAAGCTCTTTCCCATAATAGTATTATAAAAATGTAACACTTTAATCTCTATTTCTGTTATAAAAATTACAGCTCTTGCTAACAAGAGATCTGTGTTAACAATATTTCTAAATGTACATTCGTACAACTTAACATATCTACAAGTACATGTACGTGTTTTATTATGTCAAGTACAATGTACTTACGGACGATGCTAGGTGCTGCTGTTTAGCAAAGTGAGGGTTCCAGCGAAGAGCCTTTATCTCGTACTTGTTATGAGTACCGAGTTTACGCTTTGCTTTTTCTCTTCCTTCCCCTGATCCAAGTTCAACGACACTTGATGAAGAGTCCAGGGATATGATGGACAACCACTTCTGACTAGACGTGTAATAAAAGGACACAATAAAAGAATTAATACACGCAAATATTAATAATACAATGTTCCTATTGATTCAAGTCTTATCTATGCACCTGATTATAGATCATACAAGTAAAGCAATATATGTATATATTCTTAATTTAATTTTTAAAATTCATTTGTGGTGACTTACACAGCTAAAACTGCCCAGTTTCCAGTACAATCAACATCAAAGGCATTGACCTGAATATAATATAATAACAAGAGTCTTTAATGTGTATATATTCACCTGCCACTCTGGAAAATTAAATATCACTTCTTCCTCCATTTTATTACTGAACCACGCCTAGATCTATTTGTAGATTTGAGCCACACCTCTTTTTGTGGCTATAAAAATGGAAGTTTGCTGGAGGTTTCTGTGCATAGCTACAGTTAGCAAACTTTTCTCTCTGCTAGCAGCGCAATGGCTAGCAGTTCTAAAAGTGCAGTGTTTTTAATCTTATTTTCTCTACTTGGAGGGATCTCGTATGTTGAGTCTCGCCGAGTTATCCGTGCAGCTCCAGGAGAGGAGACGACAGGAAACTACATTGTAGTGATGGAGAAGGAGACCAGTCACAGCACGTTTGAGCATATTGCTGATGAAGTGAGAAATGAATCAATGGATCACAAGATAGCAGAGAAAGTGGAAGGACCAGTTGCTAAGATTATAGCAGCAAAGATGACAGAGGAAGCTGCACACAGGGTGAGAAATAAATACTATTTTGTAAAATAGATCTAATTGTTCTTTCATTAACTACAGTTGAAGCATCAGTTAGGTGTTGAGTACATAGAGCAAGAAGCTTTTGCTACTATGTCAGCAGTGTCATGGGCTGTGGATCGTGTTGACCAAGTCAGTTCAGTATTGGACAATCAACCATACACTCCTTGTGAATGTGGCAATGGTGTTGATGTGTATGTCCTTGATACTGGTAAGATCATTATTTGAGTCCAATGCCTGAGATGCAAACTTAGCAATAAATACTTTATAACGAATCTATTCTTTGCAGGTATCCGCTATAATCATTGTGAATTTGGTGGAAGAGCATTGTATCCAGGTTATGATCCAGTTGACAACTACAATGGAGGAAATAGGCAAGGTGGAGATTGTCAGGGACATGGTACCCACGTAGCCAGTTTAGCAGTTGGTAATGTTTCTGGACTAGCTCGTTGTGCTACTGCTTATAGTGTACGTGTACTAGACTGCAATGGTAGAGGACCTTACAGTGTTATAATAGACGGACTCAACTATGTAGCCGGGAGGATTAGGAGCTCAAACAGAACAGGAGTCATTTCAATGTCTCTGGGTGGATCTTTCTCCTCTTCTCTTGATCAAGTAGTAACTAATGTGGTCAGTCAAGGAATACCTGTGGTTGCATCTGCTGGTAATGATCGTGGTAATGCCTGCTCCAAATCTCCTGCTAGTAATCCTGGGGCTATAACAGTTGCTGGTAGTGCAAGAGGAGACAATGTCTACTTTAACACTAATGCTGGATCTTGTGTGGATATTTTTGCTCCAGGAGCTTCAGTGACTGCTGCAAGTCATTCATGTTCTACTTGTTCGTGTCTTAGGACTCTGAGTGGTACATCAATGGCCGCTCCTCTTGTCTCTGGTGGTATAGCACTGCTACTGGAGAAGGAGCCTTCACTCTCTCCTGCTGCTATTTCTAACAGATTGAAACAAAATTGCATTAAAAATGCTATCAGCTACACTAATTTACCAGTTACTTATAGAAGCAACACAAACAACTGTTTGCTTCATGTCAACACTGATTGTAAGTGAATGTATCATAAAGTGATCTCTTATTATATTCTTTATTATTATTTATAGGCTCAGATGATAACAGTACATGTACCAAAACTCGTACATTTACCTTCACACAGATGACTATGTCTACAAGACTTGTAACAGAAACAAGAATATCTAATATAGTCACTACAGCAACTGTTACAGTTACCAGAAGCACTGACGTAACCAGGACACATACAGTAGCAGTTACTGAAAGAATAACACCTACTGTTACTACATGTCCAGGGCCAACTCCAACCTCAACTCCAGTAAGTGGGTTTGCTTCCTGTGCTGAAGTATCTGGACCATCTGGAAACTATGTCCTTCAAACTAAAGATGGTCCTACAACAGTTTACTGTGAGTTAGAGAAGGAGATAAAAGGTAACAGGGGATTCATGAGGATAGCAAATGTCAACATGTCTGATCCCAATACTGACTGTCCTGACAGTCTCTCATTAAGAACTGATGGAAACCTTAGGACATGTCAGCGTAAACAGAGTGGCAGTGGCTGTTCGTCTACTACCTTTAGTTCCTCAGGACTTGAGTACTCAAGAGTGTGTGGGCGTGTAAGAGGATACCAGTGGTCCTCGCCTAATGCTTTTTACTGGTTTCAGCGTAATAAGCATTTCAAAGTTGATGACCTTTACGTTGATGGAGTAGTACTGACTAATCAAGTGAATGAGGCTCGTTCCCATATATGGACATTTGCAGCTGCCGTTGATGAAGTTGGTCGTCAAGCTCAATACAGTTGTCAGTGCAGCAATAGTAGGACAAATATTGATTTTGAAACTCCATCATTTGTTGGTAATGATTATTTCTGTGAAACAGGATCACGGAATCGATTCCGTTATGGTGTACTCTACACATCAGATCCACTGTGGGACGGAAAGGGGTGTGGTGAAGTGAGCACCTGCTGTGATAAAGGAGAGTGGTTCTGTAAGGACGTTCCAAAGACCAGCTCTGATATTGAGCTACGACTGTGTGGTAATGAACAACGCTTCAATGAAGATACTCCTCTTGATCTGATAGAGCTTTATGTACAGTGATTTTGTTGTGCATCATAATGACTATAGTTTTCAAAATATACATACACTAGTTTAGGTTCTGTCCATGCAAGTGCTTTCTTTAACATCACATTATTATTATAATAATTTTTCTAATAAAGCACTACAGATTAATTAAATTTTATGGAGATTTTTGATTCATACTTCTGCCAACCACAAAGTCCGGCCAGCGCAGCGCACTAACAAACATCTGATCACAAAGGCCAAAAAAGCAAGCAGGATCTTTAGATCTACTCTTAACTTGTGCAAGGATGAGTTCCAGTTTCTGTGTCGCTTTTTTTCTTTTAATAGCAGTAAAGATTACCTTCGCTGATGCCGAGGCTGAGTCTCCCCGAATTATTCGTGCAGCTCCGGGAGAGAAGACGACAGGAAACTACATTGTAGTGATGGGGAAAGAGACCAGTCACAGCACGTTTGAGCATATTGCTGATGAAGTGAGAAGGGAGTCAATTGATCAAAAACTATCTGTGAAAGTGGAAGGACCATTTGCTAAAATACTTTCAGCAAAATTGACAAAAGATGCTGCACACAGGGTAAGAGATCATTACTGAGAGATCTATTAAAATTAATTTATTTATTATAAATAGATAGCCCTAATGCAAAATGAAGGTGTTTTTATAGAGGAAGAAACATATGCTTCTATTGATATGTCATGGGCTGTGGATCGTGTTGACCAAGTCAGTTCAGTATTGGACAATCAACCATACACTCCTTGTGAATGTGGCAATGGTGTTGATGTGTATGTCCTTGATACTGGTAAGAACGTGACTATGCAGTAACTAAGAGTTAATTTGTGTATAATAATAGGTATTCGCTATGATCATTGCGAGTTTGGAAGAACAAAGTATTCAGATTACGTGTTTGATGGGGGACGAGCCAAGTATTCAGGCTATGATCCAATTGATAATTACAACGACACCAATTTAGAAGGTAGAGATTGCCATGGACATGGTACCAATGTAGCCAGTTTAGCAGTTGGAAATGTTTCTGGACTAGCTTGTTGTGCTACTGCTTATAGTGTACGTGTACTAGACTGCAATGGCAGAGGACCTTACAGTGTTATAATAGACGGACTGAACTATGCAGCTATAAGAATTAAAGACTCCAACAGACCAGCTGTGATTGTAATGTCTCTGGGTGGATCTTTCTCCTCTTCTCTTAATCAAGTAATAACTAATGTGATCAATCAAGGAATACCTGTAGTTACATCTGCTGGTAATAATCGCGGCAATGCATGCTCTAGATCACCTGCTAGCAATCCTGGAGTTATAACAGTTGCTGCTACTACAATAGGAGATTTCATTAACTATAATACTAATGCTGGACCCTGTGTGGATATATTTGCTCCTGGAGCATATGTGACTGCTGCTAGTCATACTTGTTCTACTTGTTCGTGTACTAAAGCTGTAAGTGGTACATCAATGGCTGCTGCTCTTGTCACTGGTGCTGTTGCATTACTACTGGAGAAGGAGCCTTTATTCTTCCCTTCCAATATCTCAGATAAATTAAAGGAAAATTGCCTTAAAAATGCAATCAATTTTATATTTTTGGAAAATAGTTATAAAAGCACTACAAACAATTGCTTCCTTCACATTAAAAAATGTAAGTTGATGTTTTTATTTTATGCACACGACTATTATTTCTATTTTATAGGTGATGAATGTGGAATTAGCACAACTAGCATCATTACCATTACGCCAACTAGTACTTCTACTTGTTACATTGGCACTTTAACAAAAAATGCTACGTTAACAAAAACTACTACCATGACAAATATTACTACCTTAGTAAACACTGTTACCTCAACAGACACCACCACTGTGCTTGGTATTACTACCCCAGTACATAAAGTGACGTCAACACATCATGCTACTACGACATATCACACCACTTTAACAAGTCGCACTACTTTAACTCATAATGCTACTTCAATGCTGCTCACAACGTCAACATATAATGCTACTTCGACACATCACACTACTACAACACGTCATATTACTTCGATGAACCATACTATTACTGTAACACATGATGCAGTTATAATAAGGCCTACTACTTCAACAAGATATGCTACATCCATGCATCATACTACCGTCACACGTCATATTACTCCAATAGATGATACAACTTCTACACACCATACTACCACAACAGTTCATACTACTTTAATACCTCGTACCACTTCAACACATACTACTACTACTACACGTCATTCTACTTCAATACGACCTACAGCTACAACACTTTCTGTGCATGTAACATGTACTGATACCGTTTTTTCAACAACCACCCCAACACATACAGTTACAAAGTATACAACAGAGTTTAATACTGTTGTAGCTACCCACCCGATTTGTCAACAATGAGGCCAGGCTATGAGTCTTTTTGCTTGTAATTCATTTTGTTTGTATACCTTATTTTTTATATTTAGTCATGAGGTTTAAAAGGCACCCAGAGTCTTTTGATGTAATTTAATTTAAAATGATTTAACACATTAGATCATTGATACTATGGTGAGATCATGGTTAGATCACTAACCACTGATCTGCAGCCGGCTAGGCCTAGGCGCGCATACAGCTGCGCATAATTTTGTTGACAAAAGAAAATTTGATGCATTCATACCAGTAGTCAGTAGAGCCTGTACTTCAGTCTTTGAGAGGAATTCAACAGGATGAACTACAGCTTTTTTCTTGGACTTATAATTGCAGCAGTAGTCACTAATGTTGTGTCAAACCAAGTATATCGTGCAGGTCCAGGAGAGGAGACAACAGGAAACTACATAATAGCAATAAAGAAGGAAGAAAATCACTGCATGTTTGAGCATATTGCTGATAAAGTGAGAAAAGCTTCAACTGATCAAAGAATATCAGTGAAAGTGGAAGGGCCACTTGTTAAAATCATAGCAGCAAAAATGACAGAAGATGAAGCAAACAAAGTATTAAAGATTTATAATATTCATTAATTTATTATAAATTATTCTGAATTTTGATAGTTAGTCCATCAAAAGGGCATTGAATTTATAGAGGAAGAAACATATGCTTCTATTGATATGTCATGGGCTGTAGATCGTGTTGACCAAGTCAGTTCAGTATTGGACAATAAACCATACACTCCTTGTGAATGTGGCAATGGTGTTGATGTGTATGTCCTTGATACTGGTAAGAACGTGACTATGCAGTAACTAAGAGTTAATTTGTGTATAATAATAGGTATTCGCTATGATCATTGCGAGTTTGGAAGGACAAAGTATTCAGATTACGTGTTTGATGGGGGACGAGCCAAGTATTCAGGCTATGATCCAATTGATAATTACAATGACACCAATTTAGAAGGTAGAGATTGTCATGGACATGGTACCCATGTAGCCAGTTTAGCAGTTGGTAATGTTTCTGGACTAGCTCGTTGTGCTACTGCTTATAGTGTACGTGTACTAGACTGCAATGGTAGAGGACCTTACAGTGTTATAATAGACGGACTCAACTATGCAGCTATAAGAATTAAAGACTCTAACAGACCAGCTGTGATTGTAATGTCACTAGGTGGATCTTTCTCCTCTTCTCTTGATCAAGTGGTAACTAATGTGATCAATCAAGGAATACCTGTGGTTGCATCTGCTGGTAATAATCGCGGTAATGCATGCTCTAGATCACCTGCTAGCAATCCTGGGGCTATAACAGTCGGTAGCACTTTAATAGGAGATTTTATTAACTATAATACTAATGCTGGACCCTGTGTAGATATATTTGCTCCTGGTGCATATGTGACTGCTGCTAGTCATACTTGTTCTTCTTGTTCATGCACTAAAGTTGTAAGTGGTACATCAATGGCTGCTGCTCTTGTTTCTGGTGCTGTCGCATTACTACTGGAGAATGAGCCTTTTCTCTCTCCTGATAGTATCGCAGATGAATTGAAATATGACTGCCTTAAAAATGCTATCAATTTAATTTTCTTGGATCCTTCTTATAAAAGCAACACAAATAATTGCTTCCTTCACATTAAAAAATGTAAGTTCTTCATTCTTCTAAAGATAAATATGTATTATTATTATTATAGGCACTGATGTATGTGACATTACTCCAACTAGTACCAGCATCATGACACGTACTAGACCCTCAATATATGTCACTATTGCAGAACACACTACATTCTCAACTGCAATTACTACCATTGCAAAAAGTACCACCTTAACATGTGCTACTACTTCAACTGACACTGTCACTGTGACAGATGATGCTACCCTAATATGCAATTCAACTTCAACACATCATGCTACTAAAATACATAATTCTACTTCAACACACCATATTATGACAACCTATCATACTACTGCAACCCGTTATACCAGTTCAATATGTAATACTACCTCAACACATCACATAACTGCAACACATCATGATACTTTAATACACCCTTCTACTTCAATACAACACTCTACCTCAACAAAAGATATTACTGTAACACACACTTCTACTTTGACACGTCACTCTACGTCTACACATGATACTACATTACAGCATCCCTCCACTTCAACACATCACACTACTGCAACACATAGAGCTACATTAACACATACCTCTACTTCAACACATCACAAAACTTTAACACGTACCGCTACAATGATACATCCTTCTACTTCAACTGCATGGGTTGTTAAAACTATTGCAAAATATGCTCATGTGACATCTTGCTGTGTGGAAGCATCTCCTCCAGTAACCAAAACGGTTGTAATAACTAGGTATAGAGACATTACTGTGTGCCCTGGGGCTTTTCATTAAAAATTGTAATTCATTGTAACTATAGAAGCTTTTTATTATTAAAAAACACTCTTTTAAAAGAATAGATCCAAGATTAAGATGATAATTATCTTGCTGCAGCCACGCCCACATAGCGGCGCATATGCATTGATGCATGCAATAAAAAGACGGCCGGTTTGCTCTCAGACCTTCATTTTGATTCATAATATCAACTAGTAGAAATGAGGCTCTTGTACTGGTCTTGTTGTTCTCTCCTGCTTTTTATCTCACTCGTTGAGTCTCGTCGAGTCATCCGTGCAGCCCCAGGAGAAGAGACGACAGGAAACTACATTGTAGTGATGGAGAAGGAGACCAGTCACAGCACGTTTGAGCATATTGCTGATGAAGTGAGAAATGAATCAATGGATCACAAGATAGCAGAGAAAGTGGAAGGACCATTTGCTATGATTATAGCAGCAAAACTGACAGAAGAAGCTGCACACAGGGTAAGTTTACACAATGGTTGAAAGGTGTTAACAACAACTTGTATACACTAATTAATTATTATAGTTGAAGAATCAAGAAGGTGTTGCTTTTGTAGAGGAAGAGACATTTGCTCACGGCTCAGACGTATCATGGGCTGTGGATCGTATTGATCAAGTTAGTTCAGTCATTGATGGAGAACCATACACTCCTTGTCACTGTGGAAAGGGTGTGGACATATACGTGCTTGACTCAGGTAACTGATCTTAAAAACAAAGAAAATTAAATTTATTACTACAAAGCATTTGAAGATATTTAAACTTAGCATTACTAAGGCTAAACACCATATCACTCAATATCTGCAAAATAATATTAACGTAATTTGTATTGTTAAAATTATAGGTGTGAATTACGATCATTGTGAATTCGGGGGGAGAGCCAAGTACCCCGGCTACGACCCAGTCGATAACTACCTCAATACAAACAACCGGGGCAAAGACTGTCACGGACATGGTACCCACGTTGCTAGTTTAGCAGTTGGAAAGAACTACGGAGTTGCTCGCTGTGCAAACGTTTATAGTGTTCGAGTTCTAAGATGCGACAATGGAGCCCCTTGGAGTGTTGTCATTGATGGATTGAACTATGCAGCAAGAAAAATCACAGAAAAAAATCCCCGCCGTCCATCAATAATTTCTCTCTCTCTTGGAGGAGGCTACCAACAATCAGTTGATCAGCTTGTAACTTCAATAATCAGTCAGGGAATAACTGTTGTTGTTGCTGCTGGTAATGACCGCAGTAATGCTTGCTCTTCAACGCCTGCCAGCAACTCAGCTGCTATAACTGTAGCTGGTACTCGAAATGGTGATGACGTCTACTATAATACTAATGCTGGGCCTTGCATTGATATATTTGCTCCAGGTAGTTCGATAGAAGGAGCTTCTTATTCTTGTAACACCTGTCAGTGTTTAAAGACCTTTAGCGGTACATCAATGGCTACTCCAATGGTCTCGGGTGCTGCTGCACTATTGCTACAAGAGAACCCTAGTCTAAGTCCTGCTAGTATCGTCCAGAAACTAAAGCAAGATTGTCTCAAAAATGTAATTGATTTTAGCTATTTACCAAGCCAATATCGCTCCAACACTAACAATTGCTTACTTCATGTGAAATCATGTAAGTGGCTCAACTATGGCCTATAGGGTGGATGTTATTTTTCATTGTGTCCTTTTTAGGTAATAACACTTGTGATGGTAGCAGCACAGTGACATCAGCAACCACTTCAGTCAGTCTCTCTACCACAACTCTCGTATCAATAATACCCACCATAACCACAAGGACTATTGTCGTAACTCATACTCAAGTTCAGCCCATTACAGTCACAGAGACAACCTCACTGACTGTGACTATCACAGAGACTCCTCTAGTGCTTACTCCCACCAGTCGTGAGTTACACTTGTATGGCTTGTAATACATGCAGCATACACCATGACTACAAAAGGCCAATTTGATGGCCTTGCCACCATTATGATGTCAGATAGCTGCTTTACCCTTTTAAAGCCTCCCCATTAGTATTAATAATTCATTTGTATAGCTGTGATAACTGTAAGCTATAAGTACCTCCTCTTATGCTATACAGGTAATCATAAGCTATCTATATCACATTTATCACATTCATAGATGATGATTATATGTATCTAACCTAATAGCCTTTTTATCTTTACTTTGCATGCGTGCATATGGTAGTCAAAATAGTTTTAGAGCATCTTTAGCAGTATGATATAATGCTTGTTTGTTTTCTCTCCATACAGTCTGTTGTGAAACCTTGCGAAACTTTCAAGAGCTTCAAAAGAGCCTCATGTCAGATGTTAGTGCTATAGTACGGAACGGCTTGAATGACATCTCACTGATAGTTAGGGGAGAGAACTTGACTGAGCCAGAACCTTCAAAGTGCGAGAAGAATCCACTAGAAAGTATCATACCTACACCCATAAGCACACCACTGGCTTGTGAGGACTTGATGAACCACACATTACAATCAGGGCTCTATCACCTTTACATTAAGAATGAGAGCAAAGCAGTTTACTGTGAGTTGGAAAAGGAGATAAAAGGTGACAGAGGATTCATGAGGATAGCAAATGTCAACATGTCTGATCCCAATACTGACTGTCCTGATGGTCTCTCATTAAGAACTGATGGAAACCTTAGGACATGTCAAAGGGACGAGCAAGGGAAAGGTTGTTCATCGGCTCATTTCAACACATCAGGATTTGAGTACTCAAAAGTATGTGGACGTATAAGAGGATACCAATGGGCATCACCTAATGCTTTCTACTGGTATCAGCGTAATAAGCGTTTGACAATCAATGACCTTTACGTTGATGGAGCAGTACTGACTAATCAAGTGAATGAGAGTCGTTCTCATATATGGACATTTGCAGCTGCCATTGATGAGGTTGGTAGATCAGGTGCTGCCTTTGACTGTCAGTGTACCAATAGAGAGGTGATCATTGATTTTGAGACTCCGTCGTTTGTTGGAAACGATTATTTCTGTGAAACTGGCTCACGTAATTTCTTCGAGTACAACACCTTCTATACAGCAGATCCACTGTGGGATGGAAAGGGGTGTGGTGAAGTGAGCACCTGTTGTGATAAAGGAGAGTGGTTCTGTAAGGACGTTCCAAAGACCAGCTCTGATATTGAGCTACGACTGTGTGGCAATGAGGAACGCTTCAATGAAGATACTCCTCTTGATCTGATAGAACTGTATGTTAAATAATAAGATATTAATTATTTTAAAAATGCAATGATTTATGATTTTTATGTCATATTTTGATGTGTTTTTAGTTTTATGCTGCTGCTGCTTTAATTTAATGATTAGAAAATAAATTGAATTTCAAACCCACATAGAGGGTTGTTTTGTCTTCAAACACATTAATGAAAGGGAGGCAGTATAATACCAGCTGTAGTCAAAACAACATAGTAATTACTACATTACAAGTAGCACATCAACCTTGGTACTTTAATGTAAATTTATTTCAGAGCAAAATACACACAATAGCAACTCAAACCTGCTACACAGCATAAGGACATCATTATGTATCAGAAAATATAATAAAAATTTGTGGTGATTTTGGAGCCATTTTTTGGAAAAAACCATGGGCTATAGCCTTGGGTATTTTTCAGAATTTTGAGGTTTTCTTAAAATGGCCGTAACTTGAAAAATTGAAGTTGTAATCACCTCAAACTTGCTACACAGCATAAGGACATCAATATGTATCAGATAATGTAATAAAAATTTGGGGTGATTTTGGAGCCATTTTTTGGAAAAGACCATGGGCTATAGCCTTGGGTATTTTTCAGAATTTTGACGTTTTCTTAAAATGGCCGTAACTTGAAAAATTGAAGTTGGAATCACCTCAAACTTGCTACACAGCATAAGGACATCAATATGTATCAGATAATGTAATAAAAATTTGGGGTGATTTTGGAGCCATTTTTTGAAAAAGACCATGGGCTATAGCCTTGGGTATTTTTCAGAATTTTGACATTTTCTTAAAATGGCTGTAACTTGAAAAATTGAAGTTGGAATCACTTCAAACTTGCTACACAGCATAAGTACATCAATATGTATCAGAAAATGTGATAAAACTTTGGGGTGATTTCGAAGCCATTTTTTGGAAAAAACCATGGGCTATTATAGCCTTGGGTATTTTTCAGAATTTTGACGTTTTCTTAAAATGGCTGTAACTTTAAAAATTGAAGTTGGAATCACCTCAAACTTACTACACAGCATAAGGACATCAATATGTATCAGAAAATGTAATAAAAATTTGGGATGATTTTGGGGCCATTTTTTGAAAAAAACCATGGGCTATAGCCTTGGGTAATTTTCAGAATTTTGACGTTTTCTTAAAATGGCTGTAACTTGAAAAATTGAAGTCAGAATCAGCTCAAACTTTCTACACAGCATAAGTACATCAATAAGTATCAAAAAATGTAATAAAAATTTGGGGTGATTTCGGAGCCATTTTTGGGGAAAAACCATGGGCTATAGCCTTGGGTATTTTTCAGAATTTTGGCATTTTTAAAAAATGGCCGTAGCTTGAAAAATTAAAGTCTGAATAGCCTCAAACTTGCTACACAGCATAAGGACATCAATATGTATCAAAAAATGTAATAAAAAAATTTGGGTAATTTTTGAGCTATTTTTTGGTAAAAAACTATTGACTATTATTATGGTACAGGACACAGGGTATTTTCAAAAATTGGCACAATTGGTTTAAAAAGTGCTTATAGCTCAAAGTCAGAATGAGTTTATGTAGCACAGCATGAGGGCATAATAAAAGTTGATATCTGAGCTGAGAAGGAATCTATTTATAGGCTCAAGTCTTAACTTTCATACCAGTAATTTACAGGAAGCCACATAAGAGCTTGTTCTTTTAGCATCACAAGTCCTCATGATATCATGATGATGATTTCATGTCTCGTTATATTAGCCAGTCATTCATGATAATTAGCTCTGAATTACTACACTTTATTAAAGGACTAGACACCTGTATACTAGACAGTGACATCACAGACATGATCTGTATACTACTATGGCTCAAAGCAATATGAGATTGTGTTATTACAGACAGAGTGACTACATATTTTGAACAATGCTGATTTAATTAGGGCTACTCATGGTTATATAACGCACCACTGGTGACACAAATTAGTGACTGGAGGTTGAGTAAGAAACTTGAGTCAAATCAAGGAAAGAAAGAGGAAAAGAAAATGAATCTTGGATGGTCTTTGGTTCTCTTGTTCTTACAGTTTCTGAGCATTGCTGAGCCTGCCAAGGTTATTCGAGCAGCCCCAGAAGATACCACAACAGGAAATTACATAATAGCATTGAGTGAGGGAACTAGTCAGGAGAGGTTCCGTGAGATAGAGGAAGGAGTGAAAAACAGTGGATCAGTAATTTACACCAAAGTCAATGGAGAATATGCAAAAATAATTTCAGCCAATTTATCAGAGCAGACACTTGAAAAGGTAAAATAAAAAGAATAAATTAGCCATCATTATTATTATCATTGATCTGCAAGTTAAATAATTCATATAAATTCTTCTTCCATTTCACACATAGTTCAGTGAGTTTGAAGACATTGAATTCATAGAAGAAGAGACTTATGCAACCGCAAGTAGTGAAGTATCGTGGGCACTGGATAGAATCAACCAACAGAATAATAATAAACTGGACGGCTACACAAACTACAATGGTGATGGGCAGGGTGTTGCTATATACATTCTTGACTCAGGTAAAGCAGTTAAATGTAATGTGTTGACTAATATGGATACATAAGTGGCTAAAATAGCTATCATGCTACAGTAAAATTTAATTTTGCCTGCACACACACACACACATACACACTTATACACATCTGCAGGAATAAATTACGAGCATTGTGAGTTTGGGGGAAGGGCCATGTTCTCTGGATATGACCCAGTGGATAAGATAATGGGAACAAACTATAAAGGAAGAGACTGCAGTGGGCATGGTACTCATACAGCCAGCATTGCAGCAGGTGCTAGTAGTGGAGTAGCAAGCAAAGCAAAGGTGTACAGTGTTCGTGTGCTTGACTGCGATAATCGTATCCCATGGAGTGCAGTGATTGATGGATTGAATCACGTAGGAGAAAAAATAACAGAAGCAAAAGCAGGGAAGAATCCTTCAGTGATATTGCTGCCATTATCAGGACCTGTATCACTAGGCATGGACCACACATTAGAGAAACTACTGAACCAAAACATTCCAATAGTAGCAGCAGGAGGAAACGACGGAGGGGATGCATGCAGTAAATCCCCTGCCAGTACACCAGGAGTGATTACAGTGTCTGCCAGCAGCAATGGTGATGAGGCCTCCTCTACTACTAATGCTGGTCCCTGTATCGATCTCTTTGCACCTGGAGTGTCTGTAGTGGGAGCTAATCACTCTTGCACTGGGTGTGAGTGCAAATCAATACGCAGTGGGACATCAGTGTCTTCTGGACTTGTGGCAGGCGTTGTCTCGTTGTATTTGCAGGAGAGCCCACGCCTAACGCCTTCTGAGGTTAGAGACAAACTGCTCAACAGCTGTACAAGGAACACGCTGCACTTTGAATCCCTCCCTCAACACCTGAGTGGATTAACAAACAACTGCCTCCTCTACATTAACACAACTATTAAAAGTATGTGACACCTCTTTATTTGATTTGAGTCAACAGCTCATCAATTGTGTAATTTACAGCTGTCGTGTTTACAAATATATAGTAACAATGCATTGCTAGCATAGCATTAGCATAACAAAAGGAATTAGTGTGCCTCGGTAAATAGTAGCCTCCCACTTTTAATACATTAAATAGCTTTTAATTCATGCTCCATAGAGTTGGTATGACGATAGCTGATAGCTTTGTTTATTTAATACAAATTGTTCGTTTATTTAAGTACACTATCATTAAGATTTGAATTTCTAAGATACTTAAAAGATATTATGAACCCTACTTAGTGTTGCTACTGCGATACTAATAAGTAGTAAAAAGTGCATTAGAAAACATTTTATTTTATAAAGCAACCAAAGATTTACAAGTCAACATTCAGTCAGTGACACTACGTGTTGCCTAGTTACCAGTATATACCTAATTAAATATTAGCACTACAAAATTAATTTGCTTAATTCCAACCTTCTCTTTTATCTGACAGTGGGAGACAATCTGGCTCTTGATCCTACGAATGTTGTTACTACAAAAACAGTGACAGTGTCGATACAGGCTTCTCCTACTCCGGAAACAGGTAAGACAGTAGGTGTTACATGATCAGAGGCTATTCAATGATAATTTGATTTCATTGTATAGTGTGTTGCCAGATGGTCAAGAATTTTGAAAGTTTTGAGCTCAGCCTTGGTAACATTGTGGAGAGAGAAATGTACAAAGCCACACAGATGCTTCAAAGCAACATTACATCATTGTTTACGTTGAATTCAACACAGTCGGCTGTAGCACCTTCAGACAAACCTGATGATAATAATGTGGCGGTGAGGAAATCACTCAGACAGAAAACATATGTTCACGGTACAGCAGTGAAGTCATGCAAAGACCTCAGCCATTATGGACCTTTGGACTCAGACTATTATCCAATTATCATGCAAACAGGAGATGAGGCAATGGTCTACTGTGAGTTGGATAAAGAGATAATGGGGCAAAGGGGATTCATGAGGATAGCAAATGTCAACATGTCTGATCCCAATACTGACTGTCCTGATGGTCTCTTATTAAGAACTGATGGAAACCTTAGGACATGTCAGCGTAGTCAACATGAATCAGGTTGCTCAACGACATACTTCAGTTCCTCAGGAGTTGAGTACTCAAGAGTGTGTGGGCGTATAAAAGGATACCAGTGGGCATCACCTAATGCTTTCTACTTCTCATACCAGAACAAGATGAAGATACTTCCAATGATTGACGAAGCTTTTGTGGATGGAGTCATTTTAACATACAAAGAGGGAGAGAGTCGTAAGCATATTTGGACGTTTGCAGCTGCAACAGATGAGATTGACCGCTCTCAGTCTTATGCCTGCCCTTGCACTAACACTTACAGCAGAGCTTCATCCGCCATCCCAGCTTTTGTTGGAAACGATTATTTCTGTGAAACTGGTTCACGTAGTACATTTGAATACAATACACTCTACACTGAAGACCCACTGTGGGATGGAAAGGGGTGTGGTGAAGTGAGCACCTGCTGTGATAAAGGAGAGTGGTTCTGTAAGGACGTTCCAAAGACCAGCTCTGATATTGAGCTACGACTGTGTGGCAATGAGCCAAGAGAGAATGAAGATACTCCAATTGAACTGATTGAATTATTTGTTCAATAACTGTCATCCATGTGACACAAACATAGTCTTGTGATAAATATCTTTTGCTAATAATCATTTTTGATACTAAAAATCATTTTGACATTAAAATTCCCTTTTCAATATTAATAAGGTACTTTTCTGTTAATATTATTAATGACTTTAAATATATTTTAGTGGATTGACCTTTTAGTATCAATAAAAGCCATGATAAAGGAACACCCTTGACCATATAAAGAAATGTTAAAAAACATGAACGACTTCTTATTGCATTTTTGGAATATCATAAAGAAAAAGTTTTGTAAAAATACAAAGCCACATCGTGTTGTGTGGGTGGCGATTTCTCTCCTATAAAAGAGTGCTTCAAAAAATCTAAAAACCATCAAAAGATTATCCAATAATCTTTTATAATAAAGTTGCAATCTTGCAGGCAATGAATTGTAAAGAAAACAAGATGCTGGTCGTCTTTTCTCTCTTAGTTCTTAGTACTTTTGCAGTTGAAGCACGTCGTGTCATTCGAGCTGCTAGTGGTAGCAATACCACTGGAAACTACATCATAGTAGTGACTGATGGAGTCAATCACAGCAGGTTCATGGAGATTGTGGACCAAGTGAAAAATGAAACACTCGACTCTAAAATATACGAACAAGTTGAAGGACCTTTTATCAACATAATCTCTGCCAGAATCACTGAAGATGCTGCACATAGGGTAAGCAATAATCATTACAAATTACAATTGATGTCATAATTTATTTTTTGTAGTTCAAAGGTTTAGATGATATAGAATTTGTAGAAGAGGAGATATATACAAAAGCAAGCATATCCTGGGCAATAGATCGTATCGATCAGACAGGACCTACCCTCGACAATAGATACGTACCAGAAGGAAACGGTGAAGGGGTTGATGTGTATGTATTAGACACTGGCATTCTTTACACTCATACTGACTTTGGGGGTAGAGCCAAGTATCCTGGTTTTGACCCAGTAGATAGTGTCTATGGTACAGATTTGAAA